TGTGGTTGATATACAAAAAGATAGTTGACATATAAGAGGATCGTGTTCAAGTAATAACAAGGATCTATAGTATATGAATAAGATAGAGTGTCTTATCCTGTTAACACTGTTTATATGGCTCACTTTGTAATCGTTACAAATAATTGGATCCAAATTATTCATGTGGCGACGTGTAAGTGGGGGTATCATATACAATGAGTTTGTGTAAGACTAGACTAAGAAATATTTAATATCTTTTTATAAATTCGTTAATTGAGAAGATTAATATTTCACATGATGATCATATGCACTTAATCTTAATCCTGAGTGAGTTATGAACTTGTGCTTGTCCTTTAATTTGCATGGGTGAGAATGACTCTTTTGGCCAATTCAATATGCTTACTATTTTGAGGGCTTGATCGAGTTGTGAACATAATATCATGAGATTGAATTCACTTCTTTCATATAAAGAAAAGTGACCTTACTATCGACATAGGTAGAAGATAATGTTTGTATAATGACACGTGCCTCGTGGTTCTGCACGTGTCATATGCTTGATATGTGTGAAATATTTTATGAAATAAAATGACTATGATACGTTTATGAAATGATATGTTTTGTGATATGATATGACTGATATGTTGTGTTAATGTTATGACACATGTTATGATGTGATGTGTTGATGATACAATATATGTTAGGGTGTAACACGCTTGGCGATATAATACATGTTGTGACATGTTTTACGATATGATACATGTTGGTGTTAATATAACACATGCGGAAGCAATTTGGATCTTAGGCACTTTTAGAACTTGTAAATTACTAGCATGTTCATAAGTATTAAAACTTAATGAGTTTAAATACTAACCTTTTGTAGTTCAAACTCCTTTTGCCTCACGAACCGGTTTCGAACCACCACTAGTGTCTTCTCCACTATCCTCCGGCCTTAGAACGGGATTGTGGAATCCGGTGAGTGACTAAACTTGGGAGGGATTTTGTATATGTGAAAGAGAGTGTTTGTGAGAAGTTTTTCTCAAGGCTTTTCATCAAGATGAAGAATCCCCTCCAAGTATCATGATCACTCTATTTAAAGAGTCAAGTTTGCATGTTCATGCAAACTTGAGATCACCAAATTTTGACACTTAAAATTCCACTCAAGAGTTTGGGATTATGTGGCAAGCATGCATGTTTGAGTTAACCAAATTTTGACACTCAAAATTCCACTCAAACTTGTGGGGTTTATTTGGCAAACATGCAAGTTTGGTTAAACCAAATTTTGACACCTCAAAATTCCACTAACATGGATTTTTCCATTAGATGAAAGTCAACATTTTGACTTTCTTCATTTTAATTCAACAATTAATTTGAATAATGAATTTCAAATTAAAGTAACATTAAATGATTAATTAAACTATTTAATTAATATTTAATATTAATTCAAATGCCGATCCCAATCAATTCCGACACATAATTGATTAAGATATTTAAATCTTATTTAAATATCTCAGATTCTCTCTTTTCGTTTAATTCGTAAATAAAACAAAATTGCGGTTAAATATATCGTATATATGTAACGCATATTCCCTAATTTGAATTCGAACACTTCGAACTCACTCGTCACATTGTTCTATGGTTTAGTCCGATATGAGCTAGCAAAGGGACCTAATGGACCTATAGATCATGGGCTCCAACGATCCAAGATTAACCGATTAAACTCATTAACCTGGTTAACCAACATTCGTTAACTACTAGGACACTCCACTATAGCCTAGTAGTTGCACTCCCCTCACTATAGATATATTTCTGTCCATCTGATATAACCATGATTAGTAAGTCGATCCTTCACAGGTTGTTCGTAACTAGAGCTGGGTCAATTTACCGTTTTACCCCTGAAGTTACTTCTTGTTCCTTATGTCTCACTGATCCTCTAATGAACAATTGGTTTGTGGTCCAACTAGTAAACCGAATCCCTCTCAGGCCAATGAGAGGGTGGGGCCCCTTGTTCAAGACCTGGAGTCAGTGCTTAAGAGAACTACCTTTCTTCTATCCCTAAAAGTGGGTAGGAGTGAATTCCGTCTTGCACCCCACGTCCCTAGCCATTCACCCAGTCTTACCCCTGAAATGGGAGGCCTGTTGAGTCGGCGAACTAGAGCCACTCTCACCCATGCAAATCTAAGGATAATTCCGAATAAATAGGAGTTCATGGTTAGCTCAGGATTAAAACCGAGTTACCTAGGTTATCGAATGAAAAGAAAATCAGTCTCAACAGTAAACGACTTTATAAAGTGAGAGTGGTTTTCTTCATGGTCCGATCTTATGCAATACTCATTGCATAGGACGCCCCCACTCACATGTTTCCACATGCACAATTTAGTGATCACATTGTTTATATCATATACAAAAGTGAGCCGCATCCATAGTGTCCCCAGAATAAGGTACTCAGCCTTATCATTATACTATAGATCATTTTGACTATATACTTGAACTTGATCCACTCTTATGTCTGTACATATAGTTCAAGTAATCATACTATAGCCAGAGTGTTCTTATTTTATTGGATTTAGATTAATGATCGTAAAGTTCACTTTATTCAATAACAATTTTTACTGAATAAACATCAATAATAACTTTATTGAAAATAGAATATATCTTTGTTTACAAACTATGAGTTTTAGGACATAAAACCCAACAATACATGCATGATATAATATGATATGTCGAAGGACATAAGACAATGTATAATATGTTACGATATTCAACCTCGATACATGCCCTAAATGCTATGTTTTGTAAAATGATATGATATGAAGGAAAATGTAAGGGATTGTTTTACCTGATTTAATGAATGAAAATGTTGGAACCTCATGCATCGTTGTGTGTTACATGGGGGAATCTCCCCTTTTACGATGGTACATACTCGTACATTATAAGACTGGAAAACGATCATTATGTTTATCATAATGCTGCGACGATCACTATTCCAAGCCCGACCAAGAAAGGGGCCCAAGAAGTGTGCGAACCGACTGGTGGGTCCATACTCTCACGTGTGCCATGTGTAGAGTAATTCATCTAATTACTTGCTTAGGATAGTCGCCTAAGAGAATACAAATTGAAAGGATAGGTCTCATTCAATATTGTATGTGTTTGTATCTAACTCAACAGTGGGGTCACTTAATCAGTATTTCTTAAAATACTCAAATCACATGCCACTTCTATTTCAGGTAACGACAAAGCACCTCTGTACAGCTGATGACGACATCGCAAGTCAAGATCATGACACATGCATAGAATAGGCGTAACTATGTTGTAACTTTGAATTGAGTAGAAATCAAGCCAAGGTGAGTTGCTTTGCATCATTTGATATTGAGAGAAATCGGATCATTTTAGTCTTAAAAAGTTTTTGTTAATTTTGAGGATGCCTCTATTGACCAAGACATAATGACGTCACCAAACAAATCAGACTAAACATATTTCTATTTTCAACGAGTCAACCATGCTTTTTAAAACATTAACTTGATATATTATAAAAATAATAATAAATGTTATAATTAAAGTTGTTTAATTTTGGTTAAAATTACCGGTTCAATTCTTAAACTTTCATTCGGTATCTAGTAGGTCTTTAAATTTTAAAAATGATTTAATAAGTTCTTGAAATTTTTTTTAAATTGTATAATGTATCAAAACTTTAAATTTTGTGTTTAATAGAACGTGTTTAATAGAACCTTGAAAATCTTAAATCTTGCTAATACCGGTGTTCTGTATCTTTGACTTGAATATTGAAGCGTGTGTGGCAATCATCGTACCAATGTTTTTTTGTTTTGATTTTTTTTTTTTTTTTTTTTTTTTTTTTTTTTTTTTTTTTTTTTTT